GGTTAAAATGCATTATTAAATACATTAAAAAACAATACCATATTATTTAAATTTATAGTTTTGGGCTTTTGAAAGTAACATGCATTTTATATGGGAAAATTTAGTTTTTGGTTTGTTACTCTAATCCTAAAAGAGATAGACAGTAGCCTAGATCTAAATTGGAAAGTTGTCCATCTTAACAAAACGCTTTTATAATTGGTATGCTATTTGACTTATGATGCTATTTGTTTTTTTTTACAGGGCTACCAACATGAACAAAAAATACAATTTTGGTAAAAAATGATAATTTTGAAAAATTATTAGATGTGTTACATCATTGAAAAGCTGTGTTTACCAGGATTACATATTTTCAATCAGATCGGATAAATGTTTAGCAGTTTTGAAAATACAAGGTATTACGTTAATACGCGAAAAATTCACAAAAATTGCTGCCATTTACAAGTTGAGATAATTGAGTTCCGTTTTCACCAAAATGTGTCTCTAAGCAAGACCTTTCTAAAAATGTAATTCGTCAAAGTTGTTTTTTTTTATAATACATACAGTTAATTTCCTGTTAGAGTAGGCTAGTGATGGGCGATACGGACGCGTATCGCGATACAGCGATACGATACGTATCGGAAAAAAATATCGTATCGCCATATTGAATCGGGCGTCTGTATCGCGATACGCGAATCGTATTGTCAAAAATATCGAAAAACGATACGTATCGTATCGTTTCCCCCCTCCCCTACCTAACCTAGAAACGGCAAATTTATTTAAGTACCTGGGGACCGAGCTTTGCTAGAAGAAAATCATTAAAGTTTACTCTGAAAACAGTCTAAGTATTGCAGATACATTAATCCATTCCCACACTGCTCGCCTTTACTACTTCCTTCACAACTCCCTACGTCTTGGACCTGTTTCCCTTTCCTTCCCATAGCATTTTAGGTAATGTAATGTAATTGCCACAGACAGTTGACAGTTCCCACACTCTGCACTGCACTGCTAGTGTTAGGCTAGATAGAACCATAGATAAAACGGTTAGTCTATGATAACGCTAGTGGAAATGGACTGGAGACTGGACTGGGATGGGACTGGTACATTATCATCAAGTAAAAACCAAAAATATAGACGCTAGATAGAACGCTAGTGAAAATGGACTGGAGGAGACTGGACTGGGATGGGACTGGTACATTATCAAGTAAAAACCAAAAATATAGACGTCACAAACTCCTATTTCAAACTACACATCCACAGAGTACAGATTTTGCAGTTTGCTCGGCCTGCGCAAAAAAAGCTTAAAAATATCGTTTTGACATGAATCGTATCGCTCTATGTGCCGATATAAATACAAATATCGTTTTAGGCGATACGATACGTATAGTTTTTTAAATATCGTATCGAAATATCGTATCGTCCCTCGCGTATCGCGATATTCCGATACGATACGATACGTATCGCACATCACTAGAGTAGGCCTAACAGCAAGAATGCACCAAGTGAGTAGCAATCACTCTTTAAAATATAACAGTTAAACATAATTAACTCTAAAATAAATAAATTAACAATTTATACATAATAAATGTACAATGTGATATAGGTTGACATTGGGAAATTTCGAGATTTAAACTTGTGGCCTTCTTTTCTGTTTAACATCCTGCTTTTATCATGTTCTAAGTATTTTAAATGGATTCTTCATATGTGATTTAGAATGGAATCATTTTATTTCGCTTTTCTAGATGAAAACGTACTCCCGTAAAAGAATGTGCACGGGTGGTATGCTTCACCCTGTTACCAAAATCAAAATAACTCCAATCTCGATACAAACCAACTCATCTTCGCTGTTCATCTTCGGAAGCAGTAACCCGACTTACACTCATGGTTACACACACTTTATACACAAAGGGAGAAGGGACTAAAGTAAAACTACACACAGCTTGTATGGACCAGAATACACTCCACCAGTGGACTTCTATGCTCTCAGAGCAGTGGACACAAAGGTGCAACTTTCGCTCGTGCAGCAGCCGTCTGCCATTGAACAGTACCATTGAAATTACGTGTGACCAGAGGAGAGCCGATTCTGCTTGAAGATTAATAAATTGTTCTTTTCTCCTTCTCCGTGAGCTTGTCTACTTTTTTTTAACCATAAACAAAATAAACGAGAAATCTAGTACCCTTTGTTGTTTTTTTTATATACAATATGGATTTAATGGATTTCCAGGCATTTACAAATCATTTTATTTCTTACTATTTTTGTTTTCTTCAGGATGGACAGCCCAAAAATCTAATTTTGACTGAGCCCAGTAGGTGCAACACTTCCCCAAAGAACCTATAGGCTAATATATTATCGAAGGAAATACCGGAACCGTAGTTCAATATATATCGTATATAGATTTCACACCTACAGTCGCGACCACAAAAGTTTGCAGTTGGCGGCAGCCAATCACAAGACAAGGCTAGTGCGACGTTGCCATACTGCGCGTTGACGACACTAATTAAAATACTAAACAATATTTCCAAATCAGCTGCTATTATTAGATTTGGCAACATCGCACTGTCCTCTTTGGCTCCTTCGAAGTCACGTCGTAAATAGGCTCCTCCCTCAACTGCAAACTTTCTTGGTCCTGACTTTAGTATAATATCGATTGTATGTATTAAAAACATTTTTAAGCCATTCTAAGATCTTTAAAAAACAATATTTTACACTGTCTGCGGAGGTCTGGTTAGGTTAGTTTAGTTTAGGCAAGGCCGCACTAGATATAGAGGCGTGCTGCTACTTGTGTGACATTACAACTGTAGGCGGTCCCGCTGCCGCTGCAAACATAGGCGCTTATACGTTTTTACTGTACTGCAGTCAGTTCCCACCGTGATTTAACCATTAAATGAAGTCGTAATGTAATGAAATTTTGTAGTAATGTTCTATGTTAGTGTAGTGTAGTGATTAGCTAGTTTGTTACACTAAAAAAAACTGTTTGTGCATCGTTAGACATTTATCAGTTAGGTAGGCTACTATTTCTTTTGAGCAGTCGTTTTTATATATAATTCTTTTCAGTATTGGATATGTCCTATTATTTATTTAACTGCTATCGTTTGGTTATACAAACTGAGGAATGAAAAAATACTGATTTCAGTTTTAACTTGTGTTCAAACCATCGATGTAGAGTATTATGTACGCGAACGGAATGGAGACCATATGCCAGAAATCATTTTTAAACGTTAATGTCATGACACTGTAGTTCAAATAAATGCATTTTTATGTCAATGTAGGTTGTTTTTCATTTTTTTTATTTAGTTTTAAAAACAGTACCATTAAAAAAATCACCCTTTATATAGGCTATAAAATGCCATGTATGCTTGTCTGTGTGTCCTTTATGGACTTCGAAACCGCTCGACTTTGAGCAAATGGTCTCCGCTGGCGTGTCCTAGGGCTTCTGTGTATTTGCACGATTGCTGGTGTGTTTGGGTGTGACAGTGTGAACATGTTTTTTTTTGTTACCGGTATTTCTATTTATAATAATTGTTATTTTGTTAAATTGAATTTTTGTTTCATCTGTTCTTGATTTTTTAAATAAACTTATGTAGATTTTTATTAGATTAAGAAATTGTATCGTATTGTTACCAATTTCTTTATATTTTTGTTGGCAGAAAAAGTGTAAGAAAGGGCCATGTGACCCTAGAACGTTGTCTAATAAAATAAAGAATGTTTAATTTCATTTCATTTCATAAAAACACCTAGGCCTATGGTCTGATGAAAAAAATCATTTGTTAGAAGGACATCTCATTTTGTCAAAGCTCTTACAAACAAAAATAAAGTTAACTTATTGTATGATATAAAAACACCTATGGTCTTATGTTCATACAAGGACAGCTTAAATTTTGTCAATGCTCTTAGAAAAATTGCAATTGTGTTGAAATAAAACACCTATATATACGTATTAATGAAAAAACCTGTTAGTTAGAAGGACTAGGCTATTTATTTTGACAAAGCTCTTTTTTCCCGATAAAAAAGTTCCTGAACAAACGCATTGGTGGATCATTCCACTAAATGTTGTTCCCTGTCCTCCCTTTTAGGCTACCTAACACTAGCCAATAATCGCGCAATTCGTTCTTCCTTCTTCATCCATTTTATTATACCGCAAAATAAGGTCTAACAGAAGGGCGCACACGGAAGCTAGTTCCTGTATAGTGACAGCAACCACTACCTAAGGTCGACTGACAACTGGGAAAGGGGTAACTTAAGAGTAGCCAAAACCGATTCGGAGAAAGAGGTGCGTGAGATATGGCAGGCGACAGCCCTGCCGAACACAAACTATGGTTTTATAATGAAAAATGTAGTGGCCCGGAGGTAACTTCCCGTGATGCGCCCGATGGAAGGTAAAACTTTAATCATGATAGGTACTTAAGTTATGTCAAATATAAGACTCAGGATTGAACAAAACAAATCTTGCGGGATAAAACGGGATTTTTCGTTATTTTAAAGCAGGATTATTTTTTTCTTGACCCAGTAAGCAGGATTTTTGGGTACAGTTTTTTAACTGGGTTACACTAATATTGATTCGATTTAGTAACTTAAGTTAAACCTTCATTCGGTTTTTTCATTAACAGCAAGTTTGGTTGGTTAGATAGGTTTTAACAGTTTCATTTTATAATTGATATAGGCTAGTAAAAAAAATCGAATGAAGGTTTACCTACTAATAGAATCGATATTTTCAATCAATAGTAGCGTAGCCCAGTTAAGTTAAGAAACTGTACCCGGGATTTTTATTTGGTCGTGTGGATATACTGTGCGTACAATTTAAGCAAAGCATTTTTAGGCTTAGGCCTAACCTATTATTTCCTAAATTTTTGGGTAGGTCAAGGCCTAGTAAGGTAAGTTATATTGGTTTGGACCTTTTATGTTTATTAAAAGGATACATTTTACATACATTTAAAAAACAATTCATTCAATAACTTTTTTTGTAGGCCTACCTATCATTTATGTTAATTACGATACACAAGTACGGTAATATTTACTAACTAACCTCTAACTTACTTCTCGGCGTTGGTGTGGGAGTCATAGCCTAGCTATGATATATAATTTTCAGGATCTCAGAAACGAAAATATACACTTTGTAGGACCTAGTTTAAATTAAATTTTAGCATAAAAACATTTCAAAGTGATTATAGTAAAATTGTACAGCATGAAAACCGATAATTCCACTAAGTATATTACTACTTCACTTCCAAATCCAAACACGGCACAAACACAGTAACACACAATCACAAACTCGCTTCGGCTTCCACTTCAGACCACTTCTGTACTTCTGGACTTCTGGTTCTGTCGTCTGCGTCTGACTCTGACTCAATGCTAGTAGCTGAGTCAACAATGCTGCTAACATGCTAAGATAGTAGATTCAGATTGTTGCTCTACAAAAATCACATCACATCTTGCCTTTTTTGTTGAATATAGGCTGGCGTTATTTGTATAATGTGACTGTGAAATCGGGTTTGTGCGTTCATTAGGGTTGTAAGAAGCCCATGGTGAACAGGTTAAGTGTAAGAGAGGGCCATGTGGCCCTAACTTTGCCTGACTAAATAAATCATTTTTCATTTCATGGTGGAAGCCATTCCACCATGTAAGAAGCCCAATAATTCTAAAAAATAAGTTATTAGTTAAAGTGAGATGACGCCTTTAGGCCTACTACCGATGACAGAACTTCAAAATTCTTAAATTTGAACAGCGATATAACCTTTTTTTAAATATTAATTGCTTAGTAAATAAATTTGCCAAGTTTGATCCAAATATATCATTAAAAAAGCAATCTACAACATTTTACAATATTCTCCATAAGAATAACATGGGAATTTTAAAATTATTTTTTTTTATTTTCTCCGTTACCAATAACCGTACAAAAAGACTTTGATAAAATCAATTTTTTTTTCAAGCTCTTTAAAAAGGCGTAAAGAAATATTGGAAAATTTTGTGTTTTGAGGGTCAAAAATGAAAAACAAAATTTAACCATAAAAGCCCCCATAAAACCCCGTTCCCATGGTCCGATCATGCTACAGTAGTTTATTCTGCCTTACACGTTCACACCAAATTTCATCAAAATCGGACAAAAATTAGTCAAATCGCGTTCACGGACACATATACAGGATGTCAATAAAAACGTAAAATGCGCCCAACAAAAACAAAGAACTCTGGAGCACCATAAATAAAGAAAGAAATGCGGACAGGAAAATTAAAGAGGAAATAAATCTTATCAGCAATGAAAAACTGACTACCGACCCAACCCACATCTGTAACCTTTTAAACGACCACTTTATTACCCTCGGAAAACCACGCCAAACTCTGCACAATAGGACCTCAACCACCCCAAAACCGAAATCCAAACCCAATCTGCCACAACAACCCAGAGCCGACTCACTAGCAAACTTTAACAAGATAACAAAAAAGGAACTTGAACAAATATTTGACAATCTACCGCCTAAAAACTCTTCTAGACTAGATCAAATATCTAACAAAATGATCAAACACTGTAAAAGGGAAATAATCACGCCACTCTTACATATCATCAATACATCTATAGAACAATCTAAAGTCCCCAAATCAGCAAAAATTGCCTTAGTTTATCCCAAATTTAAGAAGGGTGAGAAAACCTGCATCTCAAATTACCGGCCAATATCTATCCTACCCACGCTCTCAAAATATATAGAAAAGGCAATACATAATCAGCTCATCGCATACCTGGAGGACAAAGGAAAGTTCACCCAATCACAGCACGGCTTCAGACATGGCAGATCAACAAATACAGCCCTTGCAAACCTATGCGAGGACATAACATCAATCTGGGAAAAAAAACTCCAAGCAACAAGCATTTTTCTAGACATAGAAAAAGCCTTCGATAGCTTGAATAGAGAAATACTAGTTGAGAAACTTCAAGAACTAAATATCACCCACAATGCTTTAATCTGGCTCCAAAATTACATGACAGACCGACAACAACTTGTAGAACTAGAATACACTAAAAAAAACTATGAAATCAAATACAGATCTAAACTTCGAGAAACCTATCAAGGAATCCCGCAAGGATCAATACTTGGCCCGATCCTCTTCCTAATATACATAAATTCTTTTCCGAATGACCTATCTAGTGATAGCTCCTGCATAATGTTTGCGGACGACACTACCATAATTACACCAACAAATTCCAACACCCAAAAGGAAAAAATAGAAGAAACACTTCAAACTTCAATAGCCACCTGCAACTCATTAGACCTAAAAATAAATCAACAAAAAACAACAGTTTTAAACTTCACTTCTAACAGCCAGATACAGGAAGGAAATGAAAAACGAAACGCTAAATTTCTCGGAATCACACTGGACAACCGATTAACATGGCATGACCATATTGAAAATCTGGACAGTAAACTATCCCAAGTTGTATATGCTCTAAGGAGAATCAGGAAGATCACAAACAAAGAGATCTGCAAAACGGCATACCACGCTCTCTTCTCCTCACACATTAGATATGGCATAATTGCATGGGGCTCTGCCAATGAAACCGACCTGAAAAAAATACTAGTACAACAGAAAAAAGCCATCAGAATCCTGGAACAAGTTGATCGGGAAGAACACTGTAAACCTCTCTTTGTCAAAAAACCAGATCCTCACCTTAACATCCTTATATCTTTACGAAACCATCCTTTTTATCAAATCAAACCCACCTCAACTCAGAATAAACTGTCACGAACACAACCTCAGAGTAAAATCAAACTTTAATCTAAACCAACACAGACTAACGAAAACCAGCAAAACACCAAATTACATGGGAATAAAACTATACAACATCTTACCCAACAAACTTAAAGACATAAACTTGCTCTCTAACTTCAAAAAACAGCTGAAACAATACCTCTTAAATCGACCTTATTACACAATTACAGAATATCTAGAAGAACATAAATTTCCTACAAAATAACACTCATCATACAAATCACACATTCAACCACACTACAACACTACACACAATCAAGAAGCTAGCAAGAAGAAAGATGAGAAAAAAATTGACAATTCCCCGGTCTCCAAGAACTGCGGCAAAGACTAAAAAAAAAAAAAAAAAAAAAAAAAAGAAACGTTTAAATATTATCTAAAAAATTAAAAATGGGATGAGGTGTTCCAAGTGACAAAAACAGAGAATAAGTACTAATGCTTTCATAAGCCAGTTTAAGTACTATTTTGAGATATGTTTTCCAGAAAAATTAAAAAGACATATAAAAAAAAAAATCCAATTCATACATTAAAATGTCTGACAAACTTAAAAACTTAAAGGAGCAATGCTTTATATTCCACGAAAAAAAAACAAAACATTTATATTCGAATCACTTTTTAAGACAATACTACTTTAGAATAAAATATAGATTCAGGAGAATAATAAAAGAAGAGAAATCAAAGGCCGTATCATCATCAAGGAATCCGACAATAGAACCAAAAGAATCTGGCAAGTTATAAATAATAACAGACGGAAAAAAGGTGAAAGGGGTATAGAAAGCATTAATTTAAAAACTATAGTTTTGGTGGCTTTGCCCCCCCAAATGACGCCCCTGCAATCAGTCCTACAAAGACATTTTCAAAAAATTCTGAATTCTAACCTTTCCATCCATATACATTTTTGAAACCTTATCCTTCGCCAGAAAAAATATATCTTCTTTTTGTTCACAGCTCAACAATAGATATCCATTTCGTAATTCTTCCGACCTTGCAATTCCTAAACACTCAACGTCATTCTTCCAAAAGAATTTTCAATACAATGCCGTCAAGCTTTTCAATAACCTCCCTCCTTCCCTAAAGACCGAACAGGATTTAAATAGATTTAAGAAAAAACTAAAGAATTTTTTGCTGGATATAGTTTTTAAATGTTCTGCTGACACCTCAGTCACGAGAGGTGTGCCCCAGGGTTCCGTCCTCGGACCGACCTTATTCCTTCTATTCATAAACAACTTGCCCACATGCTCAAACAAGGCAAACCTTTTGTTTTTAAACCTTTTAGCGAATTTCCCTATAGGGAAGTAGCTATTACCGTAGGTGGCATGGTAAGACCTAGACCCGGGACCGATTTACTTTTTCATTTTGATGTCCCCAGAGGCCAAAAACACCATTCGTTCAAATTTTTATATATGTATATATATATATATACGTCCGTGAACGCGATAACTTGAGTAATTTTTTCTCTGATTTTGATGAAATTTGGTTTAAAGGTGTAAAGCGGGATAAACTTGAATGAGTTCGCAAACCAGCATGGTTGGACCATAGGAACGGGGTTTTATGGGGTAAAAATTGGTTTTTCTCACTTTTGACCCTCAAATAACAAAATTTCCCAATTTCTCTTTAGACCCTTTTAAAGAGCTTAAAAAAACAAATAATTTAGTATATAAAAGTATTTTTGTTCGGTTATTAGTAACGGAGAAAATTTAAAAAATTGTTAATTTAAAATTCCCATGTTATTCTTATGGAGAATATTGTCAAATGTTGTAGTTTGCTTGTTTATGGATATATTTTGATCAAACTTGGCAAATTTATTTATTTTGTACTAAGCTATCAATATTTTACTAAAAAACACACTAAAAACCTAGGTACTCGTTAAACCTAATGTTATTAAAATATATTTAGTTGAAAATCAATTCAGACAAATGGAAATTCGCTTAGTCGACAGGTTTGCTGCGGCGGGGATATTGTTCTGTTAATACTGTTCTATGAAATGGCGACCATACAAAGTAGGTATTTTAAGCCAAGTATGAATGGAGATGAGTGTAGGATGAGTGGCGCGATCTTGTAGTCTTGTTAGTGACTAAGGTCGAAATTCCCAGACACAGCTGTTAATTAATAGCCCATACAGCTAATGGCAACTAAGGGACCTACAGTTTATAGTGGGATCCGAACCACATTTTTGCCTTGGTAATTACTGCAGCGTTCGTGAATTTCTTTGCCCTAGAACTGGTAGTGTAAATATAGTAGCATAGTTGACAATTTTAATTTATACAAGAGAGTTTTTTTGTTATGTAAATATTGTATTTTATTTTGTTTGTTTTGATGTAGCTAATGCATTTTATGTTAATTTTGCTGAATAAACGACTTATGACTTATGACCAACTGCAAACTTACGTGGTCCCGACTTCGGCGAAGCGGGAATAGTTCTTGGAGCTGTAGCTTCATTTGTCTGCAATTTTAGCCCAGTCGGTTCAGTAGTTTTTGAGATTATCTCATACAAACACA